TTAGCGTGGGGACATTTTCCTAGTCAATGCAGTGGATCAAGGACCCAGGCTTGTGTTGTGAACTTGACAAGTAACAAGGTTAATTTAGTTCATTTTTTAAAGTGTTTCTTAACCAGAGGTTGTATTTGAGACAGACTCACATAACTCAAACCTGGCATCAGGCAGGGAGATGGCTTTTTTTTTTTTAAGATCTTAAAATGAAGTAGTCTAACTTCTGATTAGTTCTGCCAGTTATATAGTGTCAGCATTAAGTCCTCTCATTAAAATCACTGCTGCTTTTCTGATTGTGTGGAGTGTTGAAATCACACAGTGAAACTTCCCTGGTCTACAATACAAGTCTGATCAGCACACCATCATTTGTTGGTGTTTGTCTAACCATTACTGAATTAGGACATTCTGTCTCTCCTCTAGGTCAAAGTTCTTTTCTTTGTTGTGCATGATGGAACAAATTGAGGTTGTGTTGAAGTGGTACAAGGAAATGTCACCTTCGGTAAGTGTGTGCTGGGCTGAATGAGCTTCAGAGCTTTAGTCTGGAGAAATGGAGCAGTTACAGGTGACTGAAACTATTCTCTTCCTTCATCAGCTCTTCTATCCAACTCCTAAAAATATATTGGACCTCCTTCAAGCACTGGATGCAGCCAACCAGCTGGAATTGATCCCTTCAGTCTGGGAAGGTTAGTGATGGCCACATGGACAGTTTGTTTGACAAATGTCAGGAGCAGTGCAAAGTGGGAGTGGGTTTGGGAACTTCCCATTGCTCAGAGTAGCCATGATAAGGTGCACTGGAATGAGGGATGTTATTCCTTAGTGCAGTGGTGAGGCTGTTGTATTAAAGGCAGAACCAATAGCACAGACTGTCCCAGAGATCATGGCTGTGTCAGTGCAGTGTCAGTGTCCTGGGAAACTGAGTGCTTACAGAGAGTAGTACTTCAACCAGCAGCCCAGGTTTTATCTTGTCTAAATTATTTTCCTGGTTTTTGCCCCTTAAAAAGAGGAGACAATAAAGCAGATACAGGTTTAGCTCACAGAAAATATCCAACTGTCACCAACACTGAGGGGACAGATGGTTCTTTTAGGGATCCTTGGCGGAATGATGACAGCACTAATTTGTAGTTACAATTAAAGCTTTATTTTCTTAACGGGATTTTTTGATTAACATAGCACAGAATCTGTAATCAGAACAGCACAGGATTTCTATAAGCAAAATCAGTGCAGTGAAATTTTACAGGTAGTAAAGGACAAAATTATATAGCAACCCTTGGCCTGTGGTATCTAATCACCTGGACCCTCTGCAGATCAGGTCAAATCTTAATCCTACCAACTACTGCCTTTCTCTAAACAGATGTGAAACAGTTGGGGTTTACCAGGAAACAAGAGCTGTTGGAAGAGTTCTTGTCTTTGATGAGCAGGGACCAGCACCCAGATGAGGTAAGGAAGCTGATGTGGTTTAACCCCTGTGAACAGCTGAGCACCACACAGCTCACTCCTCTCCAGTGGGATGGATGGTGGAAGGAACTGGGACTGTAAAAGTACAAAAACTCAAGGAGCTCATTCCCCACTTCCCACTGCAGGGAGGTGTTCAACCATCCTCAGAAAAGCCGAGCTACTGGAAAGCTCAAGTGTAATAACCCTGTGTTACCAACATACTTTTCATCCCAAATCCAAAACACAGCCCCATAGAAGCTACTGTGAAGAAATTTAACTCTACCTATAGAGAAACCTCAAATTAACACAGAGGAGGATCACTTCCTTAACAAGGTTTGGAAAGTAATCCAGCCCAGCCAGCCAAATCTTCGGGGAAGCACTTGGCAGAATTCAGGGATTTTTGCCAAGGATTTCATTGCAGTAACTAGCTTCTCAAGCTTCAGAGTGTTAAAGGTAGGCAGATGTGTACTGCAGGATCCTCTAAGTATCAGCTGTCCCTGCAAAGCCACCTTGGATCTTGCCTAGTGGGGACAGTTGCCCTGACAGAAGTGGAAGATTGTTCTCACTGCTGCTAATTCCCAAATTTAAATCACATACGGAGCAAACCTGTAGGAGAAGTTGCACTGAAATGGTTACATTAATTCTAGAGGTTTTGGGATTAACAGCACAATATTTCCCCAGATTCAGCTGGTGTTTGCCAAGTGTGCTGAAGACATCAAAGCTGCCCATGAGCCTGCTGGGAGGGAGCAGCTCCCGTTGGAATGGACAGGCAGCGCTCTGGGCAATGTGGTGGTGCTGTTCTCCAGGGCTGGGAGGACCCAGGATGCTTGGTAGGTGTGGGCTGTGTGAGCTCTTGGCCTGCTGACACTGTGACTCAAGGCTTGATCACAAAAATGAAAAGCTACAGACTGATTGCCTTGGAATGCTAGTGCAGGCAAAGGGAGGGCATAAATCCTGCTGGGAATGTGATGGGTTTTTTTTTAATGGTATTGTTCATTCTTGGCACCAGGTTACAGTTGTCTCTCTCAGAAATGGTTTAGAAGTTAATGTAGTAGCTGGTGTAGAGCTTCATACAGCTGCTTATGGCAAGGTGGGGTTTGATTATCACCTCCCTGAGTGCTGCTGATTGCCCACAGCTTCCCATTCTCTGATTTTTTAGAACTGTCTGGATTTCAAACTGCTAAAGTGATTAATTAGTTAAATTAGAATTAACCCTAATTAAACTCTAAAGAGACTGTTTTTTACAGCTCTCCAGTACCTAGAATTTACTGTCCTACATGCTCTGAACTTGGAATGGAGGTAAAAATACCCAGCCTCCAATTTAAGGTTTGAGCTGTTTTTGTTAAATACAGATGTTCCCTTTGCACTTATTCATTTAAAACAAAGAAGTGGCAAGTACCCTTCTAAAAATATGTAATATTTTAAAGTTTCCTTTAAAAGCTACATTTTCTATGTATTCTGCACTAGTTTTAGATATTCTGTGTTAAAATAATCAGTGAAGTTAGCTGGTACAGATTGCACCTGCAAGAATATGGCATGGGCTCCTTTCAGATCTGTGGGGAATATTTCATGAATGTAAGCTTACTTGTGTTTAAATGGAGGCTCATCCAAGAGATTTAATACCTGTCTGTTCCTGTGTTATGTGGGTTTTTTTAATTATTATTTAATTTTCTTTTGAATAGGAACATGATGGAGCATTTCCAGCAAGCCAATAGGATTCCCACGTAAGTACCTTTGGGTTCTTCAGGTACTGAGTGTCCCATTTGGCTGAGATCCTGCATTTCTGTTAGAGAATCATGGAACAGTTTGGGTTGGAAGGGACCTTTAAAGGTCAGGTAGTCCAGCTCCCAGTAATAACTGACAATAGTGGTCCATTTGCTTCCAAAACATGTTTTGTGTCTGTCTCTGTGAGCATGGCAGATATATTCCAAGACCTTTCTGTCTCAAAACATGTTGAAAAGTAAAGTGGGAGGGGGTCAAGTGGTTGGCCATGGAGATGTCAGAGAATGAAGCTCTGGGCCATGGAGAGCTGATGAACTCAGCAGAACAGATCAGTCTGAGCAGGACTCTTGAGAACATCTGGTTTCCCATGTGCTCAAAAAAAAATCCACTGTGCTCTTAACCAAGCACAGGTGTTTCAGAGGTGCCTGGGTTCCTGAAGACAAGTTTATCAAGTCAAATCCTAAATCTTAGGTGATTTCCTGTTAGGCTACAACAGTTTGCTTGTCTCAAGATTTTGAGGGGGGGGAAATCTGTTTGAAGTAGAACATAATTTCTAAGGAATAGTAATGTGCTTTGTATGGGTGGGTTTTTTAACATAAAAGTATAAAATTGGAGCTTGCCCAAGTGAACACCACAAGCGTGTCTGGTACCAAGGGCCAAACACCTGGTGTCACTCAGTGCCTGCCCTGTTCTGCTAGGACAGGAGTTCCCAAACTCACCACATTGGTACAGGGTGAAGGCTGAGGTGAAATTCCAGGCAGGAGCAGTATTGGGCTGGTTGAGTGATCTGAAAATGTCACCTCCTCTCCTGTCTAAAGCACAGGCTGTAAATTAATGGCCACCTCACATGAACAGTCACTTGTGCCTTTGCTTTTGCAGTGACAAGGTGATGGATGAGTTCCTGAGCTGTGCTAAACAAACCAATTGCCCAGATGAGGCCATTAAGCTGGTAAAGCTGGCGGCTTCCCTCGGCCTGCCTTCGTCCCAAAGGCTCAAAAGCAGAACAGAGGAGGAGTTTGAACTCTCTGAAGCACAGAAGTAAGTTGGAGCACTTCATGTTACTGCTGAAGGGGTGCAGTA